CATGCCAACGTCCTGGTGTGATCTCAGACCGTAGTGTTACATGCTGTGATCCAAGGATAAACAGGCCTGTGTTCTCTTTTTATTTTCCTTGTGCTGCAGTCACACAAAGAAAGCCTGTGTAATTTGGTGACATTGACGACAGCCGTCATGCTATGCACCCATTTTCCCCGCCCGTTTCAAATTTACCAGCGTAACCGTTTTGCAAATTTCATGAAAGGTTTTATTTTGAGATAATGATAGATCCACATGCAGGGAGTAAGAAATGGCCAAGACTCCACCTACCATTGCCTGGTTCTCCCTGATGGGAGCATCTTGCCAACTTATAGTCAAGAGTATGGGGATATTGACATGGAGACAGCCAGGAGACAGAATATTCCACCACCACAAGGTCCTGCGTAGGGTCCTGTTTTTGGTATTTTTCTATTTAAAAATTGTAGTAAAATCTATAGGACATCAATTTACTGCTATAAGCATTTTCAGCTGTACAATTCAGTGGCAGTGAGAGTGTGGTGCAACCATCAGCACTGCCCATTTGTAGACACTTTCACCCTAAGAGTGTCCCTGTGCCTGAGAGTGGCCACTGCCCATTCCTCCTCTCCCAGTTGCTGTGAGTGAGTGGATGGGTGGTGGGTGGGTGGATAAATGGATGGATGGATGGGTGGATGGATGAATGAGTGGGTGGGTGGATGGATGGATGAGTGGGTGGGTGGGTGGATGAATGGATGGATGGGTGAATGGATGAGTGGGTGGTTGGATGGATGGATGGATGAGTGCGTGGGTGAATGGATGGACAGATGGATGGATGAGTGGGTAGGTGGTTGGATGGATGGATGAATGGGTGGGTGGACTGGTTTATGGATGGATGGATGAATAGGGGGGAGGATGGATGGATTGATGGATGAGTGGGTAGGTGGGTAGATGGGTGGATGGATGGGTAGATGGATGGATGGATGGATGAGTGGGTTGGTGGATGGATGAGTGGATGGGTGGATGGATGGATTGGATGGGTGGGTGGATAGATGGATGGATGAACAGATGGATGATGGGTGGATGGTTGGATGGATGGGTATGTGGATGTCTGGATGGGTGAGTGG